AGAGGGGGAGGGGGAGATAGGGAGAGAGGGAAAGAGGGAGAGGAGGTTGAGGGGAGGAAGTCTTCAGTGATTATTCCTTCTTTCTTGTCAAGCCAGCTCTCTCTTTTCTGGACCTCTCCACCTGGAAGTTTATATGGCCACAAGATTAACAGATTAAAACTGACCTCATCAGCTCTCTTGTTCCTCTGTTTTCCTCTTTTTCTACTTTAATGTAGTGTCTCTGGCTTCTCTAAATGCCTTCATCAGCAGCTCCTCAGCAGCTGAAGTAAAAACAACAAATAGCAGCAGCAGGAACAACAACCAGATCCTTCTCATCCTGTTCCATCCTACCCAGTTCTTACTGTTCTTTCCTGATGCCTTTCTCTGTGTCTCATTTTCCTAACTTTGAGCTTATTTTAACTTGTGACAACCTTATTCTGCTTCAAAATACAACACTGTTGCTCTCCACGTTTTTCTTCAAAGCTCTTTTGTTCTTGTGAGATGATTATGTAAGGTTCAACACAAAACACTAAATAATACTGATTTCTTCAGTCGTATTTCTAGCTTCTGTCAGTTGCCCGAACCTCTCAGATCTTCAGGGGTCTCTACTGACTATCAAGTGTGATACAGCCCTTCTCCTGTGCTCCTCTGACATTCTTGTAGACTCACTTGGAGCTCACTACTTCTGAGAACTTCCAAGCTTCTTCCTTTCTCGCTACCCCACCAGTAACATAGTGTCAGCCATGCTGGAGAGGACATGTTGGGTTGGCCACATGGATTAGCCACAGTTGTACCAGGTGCCTCTGCAGTGTGCTGTGGTGACCCTTTGACATTATCTCTAGTCTAACATTTACCACTGAAACCTAATCTGTTTACTTTTGTGTGTAACTTCTGGAGTATAAACTACTGAAGAGCAATGGCGAGGTTTGCCTGTCCTGAACTCTTCTTAACAATTTTTACTGATGATCATTAACTATAAAAACACTTATATGGGTTTGGGAAAGTATGTCAGGAAATGGCCTAACAAGGTTTAGAAAGCAAGGTTTTTGTCTCAGAAGATACAATCTCAGACATATGTGTTTGAGTCACATATCTGTAGAGAATCTCATCACAGTTTACCTGCATATTATCAAAACATACTTTTTTAAAAAACCTCCTTCCAGATTTGTTTTCACTGTATCTGACTCTCATTTTGCACTTTGGTTAATGGTATCTAGAAAGATTTATAGCTGTTAGAAATAAGACTTCTTTCTCTGAAAACTCTATCATAAGTTTCTCTTCTAAAGTTTCTAGTGTAGAATTTTAAGTGACTTTAGCATACCATCATTTTTAATTTAAAAATGTTACTCTTTTTGTGTGACTTGTCTATTTTTAAAGTTTTAAGCACAATTTTCTGTGTGAGTATTTTGCTTACATGTATGTCTGGGCATATATATATATATATATATATATATATATATATATATATATGCCTGCCTGGCTCCCTGAGAGGGCACTGGAACTGAACAAGCAGTTGTGAGCGTTTTCAACCACTGAGTCATCTCTCCATCCTCAAAAACCATTATTCTTGATAACTGAGTAAGCTATGGGTTTAGTTCATACTTAGCAATGCATCTTTGGATACTGTGAAAGTTGAGGAGCAGTGCCCTAGGGTGATGAATAAGGGAAAATCTGGATTGTTGAGCACTGCATGGGGGACAGATTCTTAAGAAACTAATAGGGGCACAAGAAATTCTCCATTCTGTTAGCCTTCAAGAAGAAATATTGATGAGTCAGATATCACTATCTGGAACTAAAATAAGGAGGTTCAGCTGGAGACACAGAATTGGGGAATTCAGGGTATC